AGCAGGAGTTCCTGAGTCCAAGGAGAGTTTCCCCCCCCACCCCCCGAAACCTCTGTCCCTGCCGCTCTCTGCCCCCAGGTCTTTGGCAAAGGCAACACGGCCTTCTGGGTGGTCTTCTCAGTCATCCACATCCTCTCCACGCTGCTGCTCAGCACCCAGCTCTACTACATGGGCCGCTGGAAACTGGGTGAGTGGGTGGGGGGGAGTGGGGGGAGCTCTGGGGGAGGGGGCTGGGTGGGGTTGCCCACGAGGGGGATTGCCAAGCCCAGCCAGGATGCAGCCCACCCCCAGCCTCTCCGGGGGTCTTCAGCGTCTCCGTCTCCCCCCAGATTCTGGCACCTGGCGCCGGATCTTCCATGTGCTGTACACAGACTGCATCCGGCAGTGCAGCGGGCCCATGTACACGGTGAGTGAGGAGGTGGGTGGGGGGTCCCCCCTCCCCCCTCCCTCTTTTGGAATCTCTCTTCCTGGAGGCCTCAACCCCCCCCCCCCCCACTGCTTCTCTCTGCAGGATCGGATGGTGTTGCTGGTGATGGGGAACCTCATCAATTGGTCTCTGTGAGTGAAAGCAGCCGGCCAGCTAAACCCCCCAAAAAAGGCCAAAGACGGAGTGCCCACCTTTGGGGCTCAAACAGCCGCTTCACAGGCAGCGTCCCAAGAGGCCGCACCCGCTGGGGAGCCTCCGGACGCTTTCGGGGGAGAGTAGCAGAGCTGGGGGGCCAGGTGGGAGGGCTGCTCTCAACCGCCTTCCTCTGCCCAGGGCGGCCTATGGGCTGATCATGCGCCCCAACGACTTCGCCTCCTACCTGCTGGCCATCGGCATCTGCAACCTCCTGCTCTACTTCGCCTTCTACATCATCATGAAGGTGCCTCCCCTCTGCCCAGGGGTGCTTCTTTCTGGAGGGGGGGGCCCTCCCCGGGACACACACGCCCCGATGGCCCCCCTGACCCCCCTCCCTTCCCTGCAGCTCCGGAGCGGCGAGCGGCTTCTCCCGGTGCCCCTGCTCTGCATCACCTGCACCTCCGTGGTGTGGGGCTCCGCCCTCTTCTTCTTCTTCCAGGGCCTGAGCACCTGGCAGGTGAGCTCACCCAGCCCAGGGGGGGTGCGGTTGCAGCTTCTCTTGGCCCCCGCGGGGGCCGGGTTGCCTCGGGGCTGTTGGGCGTCCAGGTGAGGGGAAGCTGGGCTTCCTCCTCGGGGGGCTCGGTCCTTCGCCCCCTTGGCTGGGCTCCCACACGGCGGTTGGGCAGCGGGTGAGAGGAGCAGCTGCTTCTCAACCCCTGCCGAACGGCCGGCCTGCCCTGTGCCCTGGCCTGCTGCCCACCCCGAGCCCAGCTGGTTGTTGCTTTCCACAGAAAACTCCAGCCGAGTCCCGCGAGCACAACCGGGAGTGTGTCCTGCTGGGCTTCTTCGACGACCACGACGTCTGGCACTTCCTCTCCTCCATCGCCATGTTTGGCTCCTTCCTGGTACGGCAGAGGTCTCCAGGGGGAAGGGGCTCTGGGGTCAAGGGCCAGAGGTCTCCAGGGGGAAGGGGCTCTGGGGTCAAGGGCCAGAGGTCTCCAGGGGGAAGGGGCGCTGGGGTCAAGGGGCAGAGGTCTCCAGGGGGAAGGGGCTCTGGGGTCAAGGGCCAGAGGTCTCCAGGGGGAAGGGGCT